GGCTTCGTATCTATGAAACATTTTATACTCAACATGTCCCACATGGAGTGTACTCCCAAAAATCCCCACTTAAATTCTCCTTTCTCCCATCTCAGTTGATGGCAAATCCGTCTTCCAATTCACTCAGGGGTTAAAAAACAAAAACAGAAAAACTTCTTAATTAATAATTCTTCCCTTTCCCATTTCCCATTCAAATCTAATACACCAAAAGGCCCTTCTTGGTTTTACTTTCAAATTACATCCCAAATGTGACCATCTCTCACCACTCCCCCTCTATTGCCATCATCTCATTTGAATTACTGCAAAAGTCTCCCAGTGCTTCTTCCTGTTCTTGCCCCATAACAGCAACACATGTCAGATCACATTCCTGTTTTCCACACGGCCTCTAATGGCTCCAATCTCACAGTAAAAGCCAAAGTCCTTTCCATAGCCTACAGTGTCATACTGATCTACCCTCTCTCATCACTTCCTAGCCCCATCATCAGTCTTCCTTGCTTACTGCATTTGGGCCTTCCTTACACTTTCTCAAACATGCCAAACACTTTGTCTAGGACCTTTGCTGTGGCCCTGCCCTCAGTCTAGAGTGCACTTTCCCAGAGAATCAGGATTACTACCTCACTTCCTACAAGTCTTTGGTTAAATGCTATCTTTGTCATAAGACCCACTCAACTCCTGATTTAATATTATACCACATTTTTGTTCTCCATTTCATAGCATTTACTGTCTTTTATTTATTTATATTTATTATTTTCTCCTTCTGCTAGATTCAAGGAACTTTAGACTTTTTATTTATAGATAGATTCCCAAGCACATAGAAGAACATTTGTCATATAGTAAGTGCACAAAAATATTGGTTGGCTGAATAAATATCTGCAACCAAACATCATAAAACACTAACTATATAAGTTCATAGACATAGATGTTAAATGTTTTGTTGAATGTTGGAGAAAAAGAATATAGGATGAAGGGGATGATGAGGGACTTAACAAAACATTTAAGTCAACTACCTACCAGTTAGCCTTTAGCCCTTGAAGCAGTTCAGCTGTCAAAACAGGAAAGCATTGGCCAAACCTATCATCATAGCCTTAGAGAATTTTCTGCCCCACTCTAATTCTCAGCCTCGTAAACTGTAAAATGGAAATAACTTCTGTGAAACTATTATGAAAAGGAAATAATGTATAAACAAAGTGCATGGCACAGTGACTAGGACACACTGTGTGCTCTAAGTTGTAGAATTTTGTTTATCAAGCCCTGTTTACTATTTGCTTCCTGAGTTTATGGAGATCTCTGACGCTGTAGTCTTTTTTTTTTTTTCTTTTCAAATCACAAGTCAGCAAGAATTTCAACTCGACTTTTACAAAAAAGAGTATCAATAGCTTCCACAAGATGGCACTGTGTCCCAGCCTACTTCGCTGAATTTCAAGGGTTTGAAATATTGCATGATTGTGTAACTGATGCCCTCTGCTGACATGTTTTTCTTGTTCTTGAGCCTTTCTTTGGCTTGGAAAATATAAATGAGGGCCTCCTATGTGTCCCCATGTATGCTCAGCATGAACTTTTAAACCCATAGCCACCCAAAAGTTTTCTGAAGTTACGATACCCACATAAGTACATAGCACCGACTAAAGCATGCCCTCCATACAGAACCACTCATGCTGCTACACATAAACATGTCTTCTAGCTACCTGCCAATTAGAAATCAGCCACAGCACAGCACAAAATTAGTCATCTTTGGCCGGCCCTGTACCCCTGGTTCTCCTTGATTTCTTCTACCCCAACTTCAATGTCTGACGCCTGTATTACTCAACTTTCCATGGCTGAAAATATCCCTGTGATAATCAACCTAAAGGACAAAGGACTTGTGTTGACTCGGTACCAGAGGCTGCAGCCCATGGTTGGTTGGCTCTCGTTTTCAGGCCTGTGGTAAAGCAACACATCATGGCAGGAGGGAGCTCAAGGTCAAGCAAAGCTGCTCTCCTTAAGATAACTAGTAAATAGAGAATCAGACCCAATATCCCCTTCAAAGTCACACTCTTAGTGACTCAACTGCCTTCCACTAGTCCTACCTCCTAAAGGTCCTACCACCTCCCAGCAGGATCATGCCTTTAGCATATGGGCCTTGAGGGCCAGATAAGATCCAAACTATACCAGCTACCTCCCCATTTTCCTTCCTTGCTGTCACTTGCCACACCAACCTCTAGTCTTCCCAACAAGAAAAAGAACTCAGAGAAAGGGGTGCAGATAGTTTTGTATGCAAACAAGTATTTGACAAGTTGAGATTTATTTACTACTGAGAACTTTTCTCCTTACCTTCTCCCATAAAACAATATTTTTTAGAGAACTAAGTCATAATCTACTTGCAATCTTTCAGTGTGGCTTAAATTTGAGACTAACAAGGTGACTACATTTAAATGAGTGACTTTCCCAGCAACTGCCATGCTGGGTCATAGCAGTCATTTCCTGGGCATGAATTCCTGTCAGGCACAGTCTAAAGAAGCATCCTACAGGTGAGTCTTCTGCTAGTACCAACACTTAAAGGGCTTGGAAATTCTCGATATTTTAATAAAAACATGACTTTTTGTTTCCATTTTTCCAAACTCTTTTCAGAATTGATTTACATTCCTGGACTATACAATTTCTTGAGATACATTTGCAAAAACATGTATTTTCATTTAGCCTAAGCTTACGCTGGTCAAATTTCAAGAGCTTCTTCTACTATAAATCAATATTTGTATGGTGGTTGGAATGAGAATGTCCCCCATAGGCTCCAAGTATTTCAACATTTTTGTCCCCAGTTGGTAGTGCTGTTTTGGGAGGTCTTAGAAGGTGCGCTCATGCTGGAGAAACACATCACTGAGGGCAGGCTTACAGAATTCTTAAGCCTTGCTAGATCTCCAGTCACTCTCTGCTACCTGTGCCTGCTTGAGGATGTGAGTGCTTAGCTTCTGCTCCTACTCCATCCCACTTTTCTTGAAAGTGGTTCAAACTTATAACTCTGTCAGCTTACTGACATGGATATCGCTGCCATACATTTCCTAAAGTTGACAAGTGGAAACTGTTCAGACAAGTATATGGAAATATAAAAGAAAAAACCCTAGTTTTATACAATTCTTTGCTATGTTCAACTACTATCCCCTAATGTGAACACTAAAATAACTACAAGCCAGTTTTGGCACCTTTAAAGCACAAGGTACTCAAGTAACCTATCACCGGCAGTTGAAGGATGCTTTGGGTGCCACAGGTTGGTCTCTTAGTTCTTTTTCTCTCCATCAATCAGTGACCTTTGTTTGTAAAAAGCAGTATAACTGATCTTAGTGGGAAATCACCATCTTTAAAATCATGAAACAATATGCATCTATCCGAGTAAACAGAAAAAAGGATGCAAGATGACTGACAAGGACACTAGCTCAAAATCCTGTTAGACATTTATGAGAAATCTATGTTCAGAGAAATCAAAACATTTTTCAGGATACTACTCTCTTGATATTTCTGATCTAAAATCAGAAACTCTCTCCAAATGAACTTTCACAGAAGGGAACAACTTCTCTGGCAAGTACCTGCTATATTCTGAGTCTTCACTCCCTTCAAGTGCCAACTATTAAAAGACATCCAGTGTCACTTATTCAAAATGTTTAGGACCAGAAATAATTTGAATTTTCCTTTTCTTGGGTTTTGAAATCTTTACATAAAGGGATATCCTGGGGATTGGACTCATCTAACCTGAAATTCACTTTTACATGTACACACACACATGGTAATTTTATATTTTTTAATAATTAAAAAGTTATGTATTTCTATATGAGTGTTTTGCCTGCATATTAAGTGCACCTGTTATGCAATACCCCTGGAGGCCAGAAGAGGGCATCAGATGCCCTGGAATTAGAGTCATGAACAGGTGTCAGCCACCATGTGTGTGATAGGGTTCTCTGGAACAACAGCTAATGCTCTTAACCACTTAGCCATCTCTCCAGATCCTATTTTTAATAATTTTTAACATGAAAATTTTATTGTGTTGAATATTCACATGGCACATTACTTGTGCTCAAAAACTTTCAGATTTGGAAGTTTTGACTTCAGAATTTTGCATTTGAGATGCTCAGTATTAATACAGTGGTTTGTGTTAAGCATTCATCACATTACATATACCTTATCTAGCTGCCACAATTCTTGCATTTTAAAGATGAAAACTGAGACACAGAGCAATCCGGTAATTCAAGATTTCATAATTTCCCCCTTCTTTAGACAAGCTGGATTGCACATCACCTGCAACAGAGCCCAAGATACTACTGAGTATCACCAGACCTGAACCACACTCAAGCTCCCACCTCCAATACTCCTCCATCAAATCTCTATAACAACCGCCCCCCCCCCATCGCTTTCCCATCTTTGTGCCTATGCTAAGAATAGATGTGGTAATGTATGTAGTCACACTTTGCTTGCATGATATAAACATGATAAAATTTGAAACAATTTACAAATCACATTTCTTATGTCAAATCAGATTTATAGCTATTGAAATATTTATTTTATCTGGAATTTTGAAGCTAGGAAGTGAAGCTCAAACTGGTTAGAAATGATCAGCTGAAGCAGTGACAACTGCCCTCACTGGACAGGGCTGCTCTCTCCATAGTTTTCTACATCCACTTTCAGTCATACACTTGCTAACATGACTGACCTGACTCCCAAAACCTTTTCTGCATTACCTTCAAGCCATCTTTTGCCACCCACCTCCTATGTTTACTAATTACTTCAGATAAACTTTATCTCCAGCCTTTCTGAATACCCCTAACATTTTACTTTTATTACACATAACTCATTTATTAATGATGTACATGATTCACTAAGAACTAAAAAGACATTTTGAGTGGTATTGGACAACAAAGTGGATTACCACCAACTTGGGTTTTAGAATCTGAGCTCTAGATACAAGTACCCCTTAATACACAGAAAAATCTAAATAATAAACCATACACACATAGACACACACACACACACACAGCTTTTCATGTCCTTTTATCTGCTTTATGCTTCCAGAAAAATTATGAGACAACTTGATGGACGTTACTTTTTTAGTACATAGAAAACATACTGCTTCACTTGTTGCAATGAATAATAAAGGGCAAAATTTTTCAAGGCAGCACCAGAAAGTTTTTTCAGTCACAAAATAACCAAAGGATAAAGTTTCCCCAACTAAGCCATTTTTCCCCCTTCTGATCTCTCTTCTCACTCAGATCAGCCCACTACTTCAAAAATGGAACTTTGTCTAAATGTTACACTGGTTAGGTTGTAAGTCTTTCAACTTGCTTTAATAATTTAATGGGGGGCCCCTAACTTAGCTAAGGAACCTAGACAAATCTTCTTTGATTTCAGCTTCATCCCAAGGTCCATGAATATTTTCCTTAAAAAGCTGCAGGCGAATGAGGTAGTAAGGGCAGAGGCAAGAGATGGAAATCAGAAGAAAAGCAAAGAGTATGGCTCCCACCCCACTAATGGACAGAAGACCTCCAAAAGCTGAAAGTGCAAAAAGCAGGGTGACGCCTATGTAGCTTCGTGGGGTATACGCCTTCAGCTTCTTCTGCAACATAGGCCACAGGGCAAAAATCTGGATGGCAAATGTCACCATGATGAAGGCATGTAGGGACCGTGGGAGACGAGAGGCCAGGCAAACAGAAGCAAAGATGGCCATGTTCAAGGACAGTGTACTGGATACAATAGCAGCATTGGCACCATAATCAAAGAATATGAGATGGCCTAGCAGCATGAAGACTGACATGGCATAGATGGTGTCAGTACTGACAGACTCTGTCAAGGTCTTTAGCACTGGTGAAAAACCATACGTGAAAGTAATGAAGACTAAAGTACTCTTCAGGTCAGCCCACCGGGTCCGCCCACTCTTCTTCCGGCCATCACCTCCATCGATGAGATCAAACAAAACATACCCAATCAATGAAGATGCCAGGCTAGTCCCAAAAAGCCACTGGGGAGCCAGAAGACCCTCATCCATGTACCACCAGATCACTACAAACACACACACACTGCACAGCTGCTGTATCACCACACTGGACTCAAATACCACAGCCCAATATTGGTATTTCCGGGCATAGATGTTTTTCCGGAGCTCTTCCAGGAACCGCTGATCAACATAGTTATCAGGGAAGGGCTGCCGCTCATATAACACCTTCTGCCATTTCACTTCTGTGGTGTTAGTTATAGGTTTAGCACACATCATCTCATTCTTTCCTCAAGTTCAGGCTGGTTCAGTTCCCCTCAAAGAAGTCCATGTGGGTCTTGTTCTTCATAAAGCTGTGACAAAAAACCTCTCTGGAAATTTCATGCTGATACTTGGACCTTTTCTGGTTTACAAAGGCAGAGATTCAGGCTAGACCTGCAATAGATGAGTTTGTTCTGTGAGGCAGGACAACACAACTAAATTCCTAGAAAAAGAGAGACTTGTGAATACAGGTAAGCTGTGAAAGGTCATAGTAGAACTGAGTTCAAAACAACCCAATTTACTGAGACCCTAAATAAAATGCATATGATGACATAATCTGAGACATTAAAACTACATTTCAGATTTTAAAATCACAATTATCTGAATAATCCGTATCTGGATTATCACTGACTCAGAGTACCTACTGTGTGCTAAAAGCCTTTTATCTTCACAACCTTACAAGTCAGTATTAGTACCACTTTAGTAAAAACAGTCAAGTTTCAAATTGGTTGGGTATTTATGTTCTACGATAACAGATAACAATGTGGTGGATGGTGCGGCCAGAATTCAAACCAAAGTTGAATGTCAGAGTCTGTGTTCTCATTATCTTCTAAACCAGTCTACACTAGTGCATTCACATACCTGAGGCATGTGCCACTGCAATGTATGCAAACTTACAGAACAGAATCCATAGCTGCTACCGGTATTTAACGGCATCTGATTATGGGTCTAATGATAGCAGCGTTTAAGTAATGGGTCTTATGATAGCAGTAAGCTGTACAATAGAGAAGGGTATGAGCGCTACAGTTTATTTAGCCCAAATCAAGGTCTCAAAGCTTCTTGTCCATTAACTGACTTTACCATCCTTTAAAGAGCGTTATAATCCAAACTGAAACAGCAAAATCTATCGAGGTAGAAGAAAATAACCATCCCCGTTTCACAAAGAGAACACGGAGTCAGAAACAGCAAGGTTATTACGCAGATCCGAGAAAATGGTCTTTCTGCCAGACCTTACTTATTCCATGGAGTCCAGGAGGTATTGCTTAAAAACCGGACACCCTGGGATCGCCCCCTGCACTGCTTGCTTCTGGGGCTTAGGGGTCCGCGCCACGGGACAAAGGTCCCTCGAGGTCGGGAGCAGCGCAGGCGGGAAGGGTCCGCGGTCCCGGGGTCCCGCTCCCGCCGACGCACACTCCCAGCCTAGGGCCCAACCACTAAGGACGCCCGGAACGCTGGCGTCCACCCGGAACTCACCTGCAGCGAGTGCCTGGGTTTGCACGGCCTGGGAAGGGCCCGCCTCTTTCTCCATCCGGGGCGACGGGAGTGCGACAGCGGCAGATCATTTCCGGGTCGGCACCTCTCCCTGGACAGAGAGCCCTGTTCTGCCTGGGGATCACGCCAGGTCGCTGCTGCCCCCTATTGGCGGCTTCTCTTCTGGCTTGAAAGTTCTGAGCCAACAAAACAAGAGGAAGAGGGAGGGGTGGGAGGTCGGAAGGGACGGGAGAAGGCCTAAGGCGGGTGAAGGCTGAAATGGAAGATGCTGGGCCTTCCCACGCAGCTAAACCTTCAACAGATACGGAGTACCTGCAGGTGCCACGCCCTGCTTAAGTGCTCTTGATACTGCAGTGAAAATACAGAGAAAATTCCCAGATCTCATGGAGCTTTCCATGCAATGATCTTTACAGAGACGATGTGATCAGAAAGTTTAGAATTTGTCCAAAACCAGGCAGCTAGAAAGTGTATCCACCTAAATCAAAAATACCCAGGTGTCGATGGTTGCAAAGGTTTTCTAAACTTTGCCCCCTAAAAGGAGAGTACTGGATCGGAAAACACAGCTAGAGGACTTCAAGTGTTGGTTTTCAAGTGAACTTATGGAAATATAACAGGGTGTGTAAAAAGGGGGAATAAGCTAAAATATAAAAGAATACAGAATGGAGTGGGCAGAAGTTGGAAAACATGAACCATTTACCAACTGTGTGAATCAGAAATTCGCACTATCTGAATTTTTAATTCTTTATCCTTAAAATGGGGAAGACATTTATTTGTTCTTGGCCACCATGGGATGGGGGAAAGACTTCAACATAAAATGTTTTGTAGAATATTGATTGCTATGTGGTTGCTCTTAGCTTACTTTGATCATCATAATACAAGCACTGGTCAACTGTGATAAATTCTTTTTTAAAGATTTTTTTTTTTAGTTTTCATTTCTAATGATAAGTATACATGTGTGGGGGGGGTATGTGCATGTGAGTGCAGGTGCCAGAGGAAACCAGAAATGGACTTTGGATCCCCCGGAGCTGGAATTACAGGCAATTGTGAGCTGGGAAGATCATTATATACTCTTAAAGGCTGGGTCACCTCTCCACCTCCAAGTTCTTTTTTCTTAAAGTACTTATTTTTATTATTTATTCGTGTGTGTGTGTGTGTGTGTGTGTGTGTGTGTGTGATTGTATGTCACATGTATATGGGTGCCTCTGGAAGCCAGAAGAAGCTGTTGGGTTTCCTAGAACAGGAGTTACAGAGGATTGTCAGTCTTTCCTTGTCCCACAGGGCTGCTGGGAACTGAACTTGGGGCCTCTGGAAGCACTCTTAACCACTGAGCTACCTCTCCAATCCACACCCCCATCTTTTAAATATTTATTGTTATTTTTATGTGTGATAAATTCTTCAACGTGACCCTTTCCATTTCTCTTTAGGTTTCTGTTCCAAAATTTGACAAAGTTCCTTGGCTTAGTGAGGCAAGCCTGGTAAACAAGCCACTAGTACTCAGCATCCCCAGAAGGTAATGAATGGTTCAGCCCCCGGGGGGAAGAATTTGAAAAAGATCTCAACAGGCACAGAGGCAGTTTCATAGGCACAGCATAAGCTGAAAAGGGTTTTTTCCTTGGCGTGTGGCACAGGTTACTAGAAAGATCATATTTTCCATGAGTTTCCTTTCCTGTTGATAATTGCCAAGTATCGTTGTGTCTATTGGGCAAGTGACTCCATGAGGGACATCTCTACCTCAATGACACATTTGCTTTGACTGCTGCACTTTAGAACACTGCATTTTCAGCCACTCATTAGATGGTTTTATATACCTTCAGAGCAAACATTCAACTGTTTACTATTCAGTTCTGTTTTTCATATGAGTAATCGGAAGTTTAATAAACTCGGGTTTGCTTAGGAATTAAAAACACGAAGTAATATAGTTATTAAGAGTTACTAATAACTTGGAGAATCATTCTGAGTAATGACAATTTAGTATCAATTTAGTATCAGTGAATAGACTACAGTGAATGGAAAAACTGACCAAAAGTGGCATTCTGCCTTCTACCAAGTCAGCGCTGCCAAATATCCTGGGTTATCTAACTAGAAATCTAGAATTTTTAAACCATTAAATTGCTAGTATTTGACACCTAATAAGCTAATCTCCCATCATCCCATAGTATTCTCATGCCCATTAGCTATATTCCTGAACTCAGTGGCAAAGCATCTCGACATGTTTCTCTTACCTCTAACTTCCTTATTGCCTAATGTACAAGCCTTTGGTAGAAGGTGGGGAGTAGGGAACAGAGCAGGATTTGAGAACGATAGGCTTAGAACATGGCTGGGTGTTCATAGTACCTGTTCACTTTCACAGTCAAAACCTGGGATGTCAGAGAGCCTAGAGAGACTATTGTCAACCAGCTGGGAAAGGATGAGTAATTTTTTTTCCTCTAGCTGACCAAATTTAGGGTAAAGTAGGCAGTGATGCTCTGTTCATTTCTATGCTGATAAGATTGAAGCTTCAATCTTAATCTCTGTTGAGAGAAATGGAGCTTACTTACTTACTTCATAAAAATTCCAAAATAACTGGACAGTACCTGTGAGGTACCCCCGGCTCTCAGAGGATGAGACAAGAATACAGTGTATTTGGAAAGGAAAGGATGACTGATGTATCAACTGTTTACAAAGATCAGAAACTCCTCATTTGTCTGAAGATCTGAGTTCCTAACTGTTTTGGTGAAGTCCTTTCCTAAAGCCTCAGGGGATAGTCTTCAATGTACTCCAAATATTACATGTCCTTTGGGCAAGCAGCTCTAATAGAATGGCCACAAAACCATAAAGGAATATGTGGTGAGATATGACTGAAAGAACCCCAGCTGTGAGCTCTGGAAATGGGTATGGGGTAGGGGAGCTGAGACCAGTGAGGCTCATGATAGGAAGGACCTGTCAAAGTTACTTCCTCCTAGGAGGACTCTCCCAGCTTGACCTGACTGTGTTGAAGCCACACTCATCAGTGCTAATAAAGCTCCTTAGGACACAAAGGTCCTCTTAATGTAAGATTACTGTATGCTGAACTATGTGGAAACTGGCCTTCTCTTTTCTGATCAACATTTGGGTGGTAAGTCCTAAGTGACCCATTCCCATAATAGAGTCTGTGAAAAACAAGTCTGTGAAGGAACTCAAGTCAAACCCACCTCCTTTGGTGTCCTAGGATCCAGAAAGTGCCAAAGAGAAATGAATGATTCAAGGAGAAATAAAACAGTGACTGCTTCATGGGCACCAAACACCCTCACATGCCTTTGCTTTCAATGAACAATGAGATCTTTTTTCCTTATAAAGGAGAGGTGTTCTTGGCAAAACATCAGCATTTCAAATTTCCATTTCTTAGATGGCAGAGGCATGCCCAGTGTTTCATCAGTCCCCCGTGCCCCAACCCCCCACAAGGCCTTGGCCCTTAACATTTTAACTAAATGAACTTCAACAGCCTTTTTCCTGATTTATTTGTATATTGTCTGACAATCTAGAGCTGTCATTGATTAGTTCAAAACAAAAGGACTATAGAAGCCAAATTTTCATAAGAGAGTGAAACCATCTTTGGGAGCTCCTTCATAGCCTGAACTAGAGTAGGTGGCAACACAAGTGTTACCAAAATTCTCTCTGAAACAGGCTGGGCCTAGATGTCCAAGCCAATAACTGTGGTTCTAACTTTCTCTTGCTTTGAGTACTAAGATTCCATTCCACTGCCATGACTTCACCCAAGAAGGATATGGATTCGCCAATTTTGTTTCAAGTTCCAGATGTCATGTCTAAGGTACTCAGAATTTTTAAATTGAAACCAACATGGAATGTGAACATATTTCCTACCTCCTTAACACAACCCTATGTCTGCTACATCACTAGTGTTCAATGAATATTTGTTTACTGAAATGAATTGGCACCAGCCCTTACCCTACCTCAGCCTTCTTGACCCCAGTCTACTAGAGCTAAGAATAAAGAAATAATGTTAGAAATATCAAAAAGGGAAAATGAAATCCAGAAGAATCTGTCTGAAGCCCTTTAGAGACAGCTTTGCAGCCTGCAGCTACAATCGTTCCTAGTTTCTGAAGACTAAGCACACTTCCTCCCCCACCTCATGAATTATGTCTTCCACAAACAAGTCCCTGCACCTGTGGAATTTTCCATTTAAAAATTCTTCCCTTCCCCTCCAGCTCACAGAAATCAAACACAGGTGGTTGCTGGGTGGCCTCAGGGGTACTGTGTGGCACAGAGGCTCCAGTGAAACTACGATGTTAATACATATAGTCAGCACTTCTAGAAGGAGGTAGGGTGGGGAGACAGGTGGGAAAGAGAAGAGAACACACCTGGTGATATTAGGAATTCCTTCACCTGTAAAATCTCCCAGGCATTCACAGGGCTGTTGCTTGACAGTGCCTGAAGCAATGTTCCCACAGCACTTGGCCAGTACCCAGCACATAATGAGAGCTCAGAAACTGTAAGCAACAATTATTAGGAGCCCTGATGTCAGTCCTTGCATGCTTACCCAGACCTTTTCATTTGCTTTCATGCAGAGAAGGTGGATGGGACACTACAAAATAGCCTCAGGAATATCAGAGTGGAGCAAAGTTCTTGGAGAAAGTGGGAGGAAAGGTCACTCCACGTGGGGGCGGGATAGGGAGAGATGGAGGGAGTAGCATCTGCACCGGGTCTTGAAGATGTCTTCACTGTGGTAGAGGAAAGTCAGCCCAGAGAAGGAGAAGAGGCAGGGAGGAAGAATACTAGCAAAGATACAGAGCCTGAGAATGTAAGGAAGGCTTGAAGAACCTCAAAGGATCAGAGCACTGGGGGAGAACAGCTAGAGCACAGGAAGCCCACAAAACCAAGCGCAGTGAGCAGACATGCAGCACTGGAGTGTCAGGGTCCAAGCTGTGCTTTAGAGTCACCTCCATAGTGCCCCTCACACCCTGAACAGGCAAGTTTGTAACCGTGGCCAACAGGACATTGACTAGGTGAGGGGGACAGTGAAGCAGGAGGACTGGTGTGATATTGCTACAAAACAAGACGCTTTCAGTCAGTGAGTATCTACCACTTTAGACACTGATCTGCAGCCAAATGCCTGCTCCTCCCTCCCAGGTTTGCTCTGTCCACTATGACGACCTAGACACTAAAATAAGCAGCAGCACTTGGCCGGGGCAGAGAGTGAGGGAGGAGAGCATTCCCCAAAACCAGCTTTTAGGGAACTGGAGACATGGCTTAGTGGTTAAGAACACTGGTTGTTCTTGCAGGGGACCTGGGTTCAATTCCCAGCACCATACATGGCAGCTAGCAACCATCTGCAACTCCATTTCCAGGGGATTCTGACTCCTTCCTCTGACGTCCGTGGGCACTGCATGACAGGGGTGCACTTACATACATCCAGGCAATATACTCATACACATAAAATTTAAAAACAAACAAACAAACAAAAAGCTTTAAAAGTCATCCTCTCCAGTTCTTAGCATTTCATGAGTGTAATACTGGTGACTGGCCACTAGGTAGCAATTAGGAGCAGCAGCTTCCAGCTGCCTGACCAGTAGGCTGCCTAGACCAGTCATTGCTCTTGAAGGAGTGAAGAATCCACACACATGTACTTCACCTCATTTTTCTCTGTCTGGACACACACTCCACTGATTTGTGCATGAGAAAGAATCACCCTTGAAGACTGGAAAAGCTGCTAGGGTGTCTGGTTCCTTATTCTGCTGGGTACCATGCAGATACCTCAAGTAAGAACTTTGCCTCACCTTCTCAAATTTGACCTACCACACAGATCTCCATGGTATCCTATTAGCTATGACTCTGCTGTGTGCGTGTGTGTGTGTGTGCGTGCGTGCTGATCCAGCAGCTGTTCCTTCCCAGAAAGAAACTATGTCATGCCTCAAGGGAGTCGAATGTTTTGAGGACACTCTTATCTCTTCCCTTATCCCTAAACCAGGCACCTGCCAAGAAGCTTGTGGGCCTTCTGCAGCTAACCAGAAGCCCTGGACACTGTATAGGTACAAAGGTCCTGCCACCTGGCTCCCTTCCTCTTCACCATCACAGGTCAAAGAGCAGAATTTGAACACTCACATTCCACTGTGGCATTCCTCGCTTGCCCTGGAGCAGCCCTGCAGCAGCTGCAGGTACAAGTGTGCCAGAAGCAGCATTCCCTGAAGAGCAGTGAGAGAGGAAAGAAGGACACGGGAAAGGGAGAGGCAGGCAGATAGCGAGAGTGACACAGGTAGAGAGATAGGGTGCTAAAACAACACAGAAGAGGAGGGAGAAGGAGGCACAGAGATAACAAGGGGAAACTTTTGAAGGCAAGAAGTGAAGCCTAACCATTTCAGATGATTGCTCTGAAATAGGAAGGAATTTCTTTTTCAAATTTTTTATTTTTATTTTATGTATGTGAGTGTTATGCCTGCATATATGTAAGGGAACCTGTGTCATGCAGTGCCCACAGAGAACAGAAGAGGGCATCGGATCCCCTGGAACTAGAGTTTTGGACAGTTGTTAGCCACCATATGGGGTTCTGGGAATTGAACCCAGGTCCTCTACAAGAACAGTCACTTCTCTTAACTGCTGAGCCATCTCTTTAGCCCTAAAAGGGATTTCTTAATAGTTGAATGATTGTGCTAAGGGATGACTTCATCTACAGCAAGGAAAAAAAAAAGTGTGTAAGTAATCTGGGGAATTGCAGCTGGAAACCCTAACCTTCCTTTGCCCGCCTGCTGGGTTAAGTATAAACTAGCCGGGACTGCCTGGATTCCTGTCCTCTCAATTCCTGTCACAGCAGCTCTCCACTCTCTTTGATCTGACTTTGTTTTTCCCATATGATGAAGTCAGAGCAGATATGAAAGTATTATTTATTTTGCTTTTAGCAGACCTGTGACAAAAACCTTTGGCTGAAAACATTGTTCAACATTAGAGGTTCATCTGAGAAGCAATAAAGGACGACTCCCATTTTCCCATCACTAAGAACTCTTTATTATTTCTTGTTGATTCTAAATTTTTTTTTAAATCATGACCACTAAGGAAACTACCTCATGTGTCCCTAAGTTCTTTTTCTGTTTTTATAACACATATGCCTATAAATACAACTTTGAAGGATACTTATGAATGCCATTGATATAAAATAATTATGGCAACAGAAATATAGTTTAATAAATCTAGATGGCAGATACCTGACTGCTTTATATATGTTTAACATTTTTCCTAGTGAGTAATAGAAACATTTTGAAACTATATTCACATGCATTCTTTGACTGAAATGGTTGATATTTTCAAATAAAGAGAAAAGATAATTATTTTATGGTTTTCTGGAACATAGTCCTCTGACCTTTTTGGTCTCTAAAGGGTATTGGCATAATTAGGTCTTCAAATAGATCCTAAGGATCCACTTTCAGCCTGAGGAAAAATCATGTCTCTGACCATTTTATTAAACAAATGAAAACAATAATTTAAAAATCCCTTCCAGCCCTCCTAAATTAAGTGGATGTGTTACTGGACAAGTCTCTTAGCCTTTCTGAGCCACGATTTCCTCATTGATTTAACTGAGACCAATGAGAGTTCCCTCAGTTTAGTTAGGAGTAGAACAAGGGAAAGGAATACACATTTCAAAGAGCAGGAAGGATGGAGGAAACCGTCAGTGCTCCTCAAATCATTCTTATAGTCTACTTATAAAACCATCATCTGGTGCTTACAGTGTCAGTTTTTATTATACAAACAGGTTTTGTGTGTGTGCGTGTGTGTGTGTGAGTGTGAGTGTGTGTGAGTGTGTGAGTGAGAGTGTGTGTGTCTGTGTGTGTGAGTGTGTGTGTGTGTGTGTAGGAGAAAATGAAAGATAAACTTTTCAAGTCCTTTATCAAAGATTTAACAAAACCAAACATGTGGGCCATGAGCCAATTCTTAGGTGCCACAGTAAACACTGTCCTAAAATATGATGCTTCCAGTTGTGAAATATGATGAGCAGTCTTTAACATCTGAGGATTGGCTGTCTGTGTCACACCTCAATTAGGCTTTCAACAGGTTATTGCCATCTTCCCCTTATGACTTCTACCTCCCTCTTCACAACAGCTGTTTAGAAAATGAGAGAGCCATTAGCATTTCAGTGTCTCTGACTTGTAGAGATGATACATAGCCACATCCTGGCTATGAAACCTGGCCAATCTACTCTCCATTACTGTTGCTGTTGCTTGGCTGCCTTTAAGGAAGTAAGAGTAAGAAGGGGATGGTACAGATGGAAAAAACCTTGATCTCATTCCTGGGGAAGAAGCAATACAGAATGGGGAATAATACCCACAGAACATGGAATCCCAAGTCTTTTACATCAAATTTAGACTTGTCTGTTACAGCTGCCTTCTGGGACTCCAGAAAGGAATGGAGTAGCTTTTTTTAGAAGCAAGACTTGAACTGGTTGTGAGTCTGAGCTGGCATATCGCCAAAGACCCAAGATTAGTTTTGCTGCACTTATAGTTGCAACAAGTGGGCAGAATTAGAGCATCTGCTTCCATATTTTTGGCCACAGAGTCTAATATCAGTAGGGAGTGGGAGGCCCAAAATTTTTCACTATTGACTAATATCACCCAAGTTGCTAGTAGAGCCAGTTCTAGAACGGATCCCCCTGGGCTCCCAGCCAGTGTGCTTCCTCAGCACCTTATACAAAATAGATCTGTCATACTGCAACACTAATGACCTGTAAAATTTCTCTCAAGATAATGTTACAACAGTGATCTTTGCGTATATATCTATATTTATACTTTCTAAAACAAAATGATTACGATAACTCATTCATTCAACATTTGTCAAATTGTGCACCAGATTCTATGACAGCCTCTAGGAATACAGAGATAGGTAAGACATAATTCTTGTTATTAAGTATCACTCAGCCTGGTGGAGGAAACAAATATATTGTTTCAAATAAATAGTACACAAACTTGTAAGAAAGTCTTACCAGGTCTATAATGGAATCAGAGAGGCAAGCATCCAACTTAAGAGGGTGATAAAAAATAGGAAGGACAGAAAACAGGATTCCTGAGGGTGTGATGGCTACTGTTGTCAACTAGACAGAATCTAGAATCATCTGGGAGATGGGCTTTAGCCCATGCCTGTGGGAGATTATGTTGTATTAACTGAGGTGTTAAGACTTGCTCACTGTGGGTGGCACTTTTCCCAGGCAGGGGCTCCTAGACTGTATAAACTGGAGAGAGCAAGCTGCGCACTAGCATGTACACATACCTTGCCACCATGGACCATATCTTGCAACTAAACCCTTCAGCTACTTTTGTCAGAGTATTTTATGACAGTAACAGGAAAAGAAACTTGAGGCAGAAAGCTGTGTCAAAGAATGAGGAGTTAACAAGGACAGACTGAAATATAGAAAACATTTTATCTTTCAGGTGCCAAGGGATATGTAGGTATCATGGTTATGGAATTTCATCATGACAGCACAATTGTCATTAACTGCACCTTGGAGATTTTGCAAATATATTTTCTGCTTGATTTGTGATAAACTCTATGAGTCCAATATATATGGCACCTAGAAATACTCTTATGGGGAAATCAGAAATCTGGTAATGATGAAGGAATTAATTGCAGAGAAGATAGTAATCTACATATATCTACTACAAACAAACTTGCTAATCCTACACAGGTGTTTGTCACGCTTTCAGAACAACCATCAATATCATTTCTAGCTATCCTTTCCATATTCCTACACTGAAAGGTAGCCCCTCATTTTTCTAAGGTCCCAGAGGTATCACTGGTGTTTTGAATGGAGTTTTCAAGAAAGTCTGAGTCTCAAGACTTCAAATGTATAAGAAATAGATGGAGGAGCCCGAGCTGCAGCCAGGCGTGTGCCAACCCACAGTGTCTGGGAAGACATGGCAATGTTGAATCAGCTCAAAGCAGAGGAGTACACACACAGAGGCATTCACTCACTAGTCCCTCTTTTCACCCCATCCCTCCTTCCAAAAGAACCTGGCCTTTCCAAAGTATCCTGTTACTAGGAAGTTATTTGGTTGGTTTTTCTTCCAAATTATTATATGCTGTTTTCTGGACCTGAACTGCCCTTGCTCACTAAAAAAGTACTTATCTGAGCATCTCTTGTCATTTCAGACCCTTTCCTCTCTATGCTATTCCCAGTGAGCCCTGCAGGGCTCATCAGCTTCCCTGGAGCCTCTGTATTTATTTCTGTTGTAGTGCTTTCAACACTATTATGGTTTGAATCTAAAATGACTCCCCACATAAGTTCACATTTCAAGTGCTTCATTCCAAACTTGTTGCACTGAATTAGACCTACCACCTGAGTTCTCTGCCTCCTGGTCCACTGTCACATCAACAAGCTGTTGCCAATAGTTCTTGTTACCATGGAGAAACCACTCTGCTTTACCTTCCCCACCATGATCTTTCTGAACTTGTGAATCAGAATAAACCTTTCTTCCTTTAAGTGGTTTCTGTCAGGTATTTAATCATAGCACTGAGAAAGATAGTTAATACAAACATGGTTATAGGCAGACTGCTCAATGGTGAGCAGCTTGACATCACATGCCATGGCTCATTCAGCTCAACATTCCACATGAACAGACAAGTGAATGAATTTGTATTCTTTTCTTGTCTTTCTTAAAGCAGAAAACTTTTATTCATCTCATGTGCACATTATGACACCTTCCATCTGTTAGCCTCACAATAAATAATTGTTGAATGAATGAATCTAATCATTTACATTCATACTTTACACGTCAACACACAAGATTGGGTCGATTCTTTCTAATGCCCTATAAAAATGAAGTGTTTGTCCAAAGAATCCAACTTTGTCAGTGGTTTCCAGTCTTCAAACCCAAATTGCCATATATCTCTCACAAACTGAATCTACGTTCAGATCACTGTGGCAAAGGTTCCTTTCGGTGCACACTCTTTATGCTGGATAGAGAAGCTCCTCCTCTTCACACTTCCTTACCCCCCAGGCAACAGGAATGGATCAGGGCATACATAAGCCAATGAGCCGATCCTTTGAGAGGAGAAAGCTGAACTATCAATTGAAGTCACTGCTTCTCACTGCAGCCTTCCTTTTGCCATGTTCTATACTTTCTATGAGCAGATCTGATGGCTCTAATGTCACGTCTCACAAAAAAAGGGTTAGACAGATCTCCAAATATAGTTGGAGCCTCAAGTTCTCATTTTCCCCTCCTAAGAAACCTTTGCCAGAGACGCATATTAGAGTCTCATGTTCTGAGTCTGAATGCTCTGCAGCTCTCTGTCCTTCATCTTTTGTGGAGATGAAGTCAAAAAGAAAGCAACGGTTACAGTGACCAGACTGGGATCTCCATCCTCCTTCCACTCATTGGTCTTTTGCTCTTACTTCTTCCCCAAAGATGTAAGGAGACTCACAACACATATATCACTCTAGTTCTCCTTATGGCTTAATGCACAATGCACTGAAGGGCCAAGTGTTGATGGACCAAGGATGCTTGAAAGCTAAGGTTGAGCCAGAGCTAAGGCCTGGACAAAGGATGCTGCTTGGGAAGGCTTGCTGAAAGGAGGTTCACAAGAAAGTCTTCATTTGGTCAAAGGTTCTCAGGTCACTGGTGGGGGCTTTTTGTAAAGTGAGGAAAATGTGCCACCTGAGGGGGAATACATCTCCTATGCTATGGTATGCACATTAGAAGGCAGAGATCCCCCTTAATCCCTAGGCACCTGTGCTAACTGCCCTTATACCTGTTTCACTATATACAGCAGCCCGGAGGCCACCACCTGATCTGTGTCACTCCCTGCCACCTACACCCTTTCTGAACCTATCAACTGCAGCAACTCTGGAAAGAGTTGAAATCAAATTATCTATCTCAGTTTATGGAATGAAAATTTGACTTTTCTCACCTGTTTTTGTCTCTTTGCTGCCCTGGGTATCTTACCATTTCCTCACCCATCTCTGTCTCTCTTTACCCTCAGGCCGAGGGGAACCAGAATGAATCTCTATGGTTCAGGAACAAGCAACTGTGTCCTGCATGCCGAGAAATGAAAATGATAGGCAAAGGGAAACAAATGAATTTGTGCATTCCAAGGATACAAAACTCCTCTTCCCCCACTGGAACCCCGTGGAAAGAAATAGCGATGATAGGGTCCTTACAGAAAAGGCCATGATAGAGGCTGCAAGTGAGCCTCATTGCCTGACACGGTACTATGAACCTTCCTCATTTCGGTAAGCCAAAAAAGAACCCAGGTAGTGGGCCAGAGGAGATCAGCTACTTTGTGTGTGGTTTCTGGATAACTACACCTTCCAGGGCTTTGAGGACTTCTTTTCTCACCTCCATATCTCAGTAACAACAGCATACACACACACACACACACACACACACACACACACACACACACACACACACAGAGTCATCCCACAGCATCACAATTATGAAACAAGCAACTTAATTTTGGGTTTATCATGAATTCAGTCAGCACATCAGAAGAAAAGCTGGGTAGAGATTCTGTGGTAGTTGCTAGATAGTACAGAGAGCCCTTGGCATGGATATCTGTGACTTGAAATGGAGAATAGTAGTAAGGAGGAATGTTAGGAAATGAAAGAAAGCTCTAAGGAGATGTGGGAAGAACAAGGGCAAACTTCAGCCACACGTCTGAGGTGATGCAGAAGGAGAACTCTTAGGAGGGATACCAGGTCAGAATTAGATTTGGACAAATTTAAGGGCTAGGATTAGTGGTACCATGGCTGTTAGAGTTAGATTAAGGCCCAGTCTTGGGTAAAGAGTAATTGAGCTAACTGGTTATATTCTGGTCATGAAGGATCTTTTCAAATCTGATATCCTTTCATTCTTCTTTGACTTAAGGAAGCCAGGGCTAAGTGTGCAATAAAAGGAAAGGCAAGCAATAGGGGGGAAAATGCAGGAAGTGCACGGTCTTCTCTGACATCATGGCAAAGTGCTTCAGACCAATTGGGTGAAGAAGGAAGCAATAGTTGAGTGAATTTTTAAATTTTTTTTATTTACTGTTTTTAATTATTTTTTTATTTTCTGTGCATGAGTGTATTGCCTGCATGTGTGTAAGTGCACCCATGTCGTGCAATGCCTGCGGAGGCCAGAAGAGGATGTCGGAGGCCCTGAAACTGAAGTTACGGATGGTTGTTAGCTGCCATATGGGTGCTGGGAATTGAAACTGGGTCCTCCAAAAAAGTAACCAGTGCTTTTAACTTCTGAGCCATCTCTTCAGCCCCTTAAGTGAAATTTTTGTGTGAGAGACTTAGAAATGTAACTGGCACTTCTGATGAAAACTGCTCTTGGTGTTACCATCTTTGTTCATTTTCCACATACTCAGGATCACGGTGTTCAGTGTTAGCATTGGTTGGAGTCTCAGCTGGGATTTCTCCTGGTTTTATTCCTGGAATCATGTATAGAGTGCCCTGACTTCTGGGCTAAGCTGGCCATGGACAGCTGGCACACTTGGGACTCCAGCAGTTCCTGTTTCTCAAGACCTTTTTTCTGGCTTTTGCCCTCGCTCAAGCTTGACATGAACGGAACCACAGGCAGTGGCTTCACTGTTTCCTACAGCTATTGCAGGGAAGGTCTTCCAACACAAATGTGCCTCTGAGCTGTCAGAACTGGCTGAGAAACCACGAAGGCTAAAAAACAAGCCTGAGACACCCTTGATCACAATACATAGTAGCATTTCAGTGTCTTTCAGGAGAAGGACCCCACTGGTCTGCTGTAGTCTTTAGACACCCCTCTTTGCAGTGAATTCAATGAAGATAGTGGGTTACGGTGTTAAAAAGACTCTTAGGAATGGAAGAGAACTTTAAAAGGATACCCATAAAAAGAAAACCCACAGCTAACATCATACTCAAAGATCAAAAACGAGATACTTTCCCTCAGGTCTGGAACAAGACAGAATTGCACATTTGCCCTTTCTAATCAAGATTGTACTGTACATTCTAGCTGGGGCAACAAGAAAAAAAACCTGTGACCTGTCACAGGTGGTAAAGTCCATGTAAGATAGAAAGGAAAAAGAAAAACTCTCTTTTTATAGATGATATGTTATATACAGAATACCTGAAGGAACACACACACACACGCACACACAAACACAAACACACATATCTGTGAGAGCAATAAATGAATATATCAGGGCTTCAGAATACAAAATCCATATGCAAATGTTAAATTATTTCTATAAACTAGCAATGATCGATCCCAAAGTAAAATTAAGAAAATAATCCTGTTTACAATATTTCAAAAATAGGAATAAAATTAACAAAGGAAAGAAGTAAGAGACATGCACATAAAATTTCAAGAAGGTAATTAAACAAGACCTAAATAAATGGAGAGAAACCCATGTTTATGGATTGAAATACTATTGTAAAGATGGTAATTCTCAAATCTATAGATTCAGCACAGTATCTGTTAAAATCCCAAATGTCATTCTTGTAGAAACTGGCAAGCAGATTTTAAAATTCTTTTGAAAATGAAATAGATGTGGAATAACCAAAACAGTCTTGAAATAGAACAAAATTGTTAGACTCACAACACCTAATTACTTTCAATGTGTATTTTTATTAAATTTTTGTGTATTTTATACAATACTCTTAATCATGTTTAGACCCTTTTCTCCTATCTGCACCCCCTATTGCTCGCCCATAGGATTTCATGCATTCTGTCATACATGTTAAGGCCTATCAAGTTTGTGTATCCAGTCCCTCAGTGTGAGTTCATCTACTGGAGCCTGTTTAGCCTATTAGTACCATTCCCTGAGAGAAGATAGACTCTCCCTCACCCAGCAGTGATCAGCTGCCAGTAGTTCCTCAGCAAAGTTGGGGGATCCTGTCCATTTCCTCAGTTCTATGCTGGTTTTTGTCTGTTTGAGTTTGCATGGGTCTTGAACATGCTGTCACCATATGACACCATATGACACCATATGAGCAAGTTCCCAGAATCCTGGAAGATTCTGCTTCCTTATGGTCATGTACCATCCCTGGCTCTTACAATATTTCTGCTCTCTCTTCTGCAATAGTCCCCAAGCCCTGAATAGATGAGGTTTAATATGAGTTCTAGCCAGGGACATACTTCTGCAGTCTCTTTTTGTCAACACTTTGGCCAGTTGTGACCTTCTGTGTTCATTGCCTTCTGTTGCATGAGGAAGCTTTACTGGTGAGAGCTGAGAGATGCATTAGTATTCTCTCTACCCCCTGTTCACTATGTTCTGTGAGCCTTCTGTGTAAAGGTTCCATTGTAGATGTGTTACTTAGGGCTGGGCATCTCACAGACACTTATTCTCACACAACTTAATTTTAAAAACTCACTACAAGGCTACAGTCAGGATCATGTGATGTTGTTATAAAAAAACCTGTTGATCACTAGGATGAAATTGGGCTTTTAAAAATAAATCCTTACAGGGATGGAGAGATGGCTCAGAGGTTAAAAGCACTGACTGTTCTTGCAGAAGACCCAGGTTTGAATCCTAGCACCCACATGGCAGCTAACAACTGTACGTAACTCTAGTGCCAGGGGATTAGCTGGGTGTGGTGGCACATGCCTTTAATCCCAGCACTCAGGAGGCAGAGGCAGGGGGATCCTCTGTGAGTTCCAGGCCAGCCTGGTCTACAGAGTGAGTTCCAGGCAGCTGGAGCTACAGGGAGACCCTGTCTTACAAAGACCAAAAAAAAAAAAAAAAAAGACAAAGACATCCTCTTCTGTACTCCACGGGCACTGCATGACACAGGTACACTTACACACATGCAGGCAATACACTAATACACATAAAATAAAAAATAAATAAAATTAAAAAAAATAAATTCTTACATTTCTGAATAAATGATTTTTTTACTGACACTTATTCTCTGCACTTTGACCAGTAAACAATTGATTTTTTTAAAAGGATGCTAAGATAATTAAATCATGAAATAAGTGTTATTTCAATAAATAGTGCCTGGGACAATTGCATATAAATATGTAATATACTAATAGTGCACCTTTCCCTTGTGCCATATTGAGAAAATTCTCAAAATGTATCAAACACCTAAAAATAAGAGCTGAACCATAAAATTCCATAAATTTTTGTGATCATTGATAGGACAATTCCTTCTTAAATGTTACCTAAAATACAATCAACAATAAAAATATAGATAAAATTGCTCTCATAAAAATTTAAAATTGTTTGCCTCAAGAACACCCTCCAGATGGAAAAACCATATTTGTGAAGCATCACATAGAGGGGCCTGTCAAATAGTAAGTTAGAACTCGGTATACATAAAGCATTCTTAAAACTCCACAATAAGAAGCTAAAGCACAATTAAAAAGCAAGCAAACATTCTGAAAGATGTATTTCCAAAGAAGGGCTGAAATGCCCAATAAACATATGAAAATATGCTCAATAGTATTAATCATTAAGGAAAAGCAAATCAAAACCCCAGTGATAAACATTTCTCTCCCTCTGGGAGGTCTATAATAAGACAATGAAGTGCCCTCAAGATTGAGTCAGGAAGGTTGCTGAAGTTTGTGCCAGCCTGGCTACAAAGTGAGCTTCTGTCTCAAAATAACAATAATGATGACAACAGACATTTTGTTGGCAAGGCTATGAACCCTCATATACCACCCAATGATTTCATTCCTAATTACTAATTATGTACTCCAGAGAACTGAAGAAATCTATCCACACACAAGATAATGCAAGAATGTTCATAATAGCAGCAATCATAATGATACAAAAGTGGAAATAGTCCAAATGCCTATCACCTTATTCAGAAATAAACAATATGTGACCTATTCACACGATGGACTATTATTCAACCATGAAGTACTGTACATTCTACAATGTAGATGAACCTTAAAAATATTGTGCTAATCTCCTGCCCTCAGGCCTCTCTTGGGGTAAGTCTATCGCGCAGCCCTCCGCGCCTTGACTCCCCCAGCCACATTCACCCTTCCATCTCCCCCTCTGTTCTCTACTCCTAGTTTGGGCCCTGCGCCATTCCTAGTCTTGGGTCCTCAGACACCTGGGGAACCAATACTGCTTCCTGGTCTTTTTCACCCA